TACTGAACTTGGATGACTTTTTGTTCTGGAGCCTGGTGCATGGTGGGGAGTTAGCAGCACCCCTAGCCTTACTCACCGATAGCACCCTCCCACACACAGCTGCGGCAAACAGAAACATCTCCAGGTATTGCCAGATGTGCTTGAGGAGAACAATGGCAGGGCTGTTGGCATCTTTGCGGCTGTTGGAACCCCAAAGGCCCCCCCGTCTGCAGAGCAGGGTTGTAGGTGAGCAGCTCCCAGTGAAAATGCGGAAGGGGAGTCTCAGTTTCTAGCCAGACTAAAAGCTAAAGCTTTTAAGCACTTTAATTTCAGAAAGATTTTGGTGATTTTTACTGAGGTGAAGCATTAGAAGACTAGAAATAGCTTCTTTCTTTTTTTTTTTTTAAATCAGCAGATCAAGGAAGGTTCTGGAAGTGTTCTCTGACATTGTCAGGAAATGCGATTCTGAGCGGGGTCTCTCCTCACCGCTCCCTTTGTGGTTCCCATGAGGCTGGACTCCTGGGGGCCTCACAGCACGTGGTCTGCCGTTTCTCTCCCCAGGTGGATGACACGGAGGGCCCCCCCGAGGGCCTGGGGGGCGGGGCGGCTGATGGATATAAGCAGGCAGGGGACTCCCAGCTTCCTCTGGGCAGGGGACACCGGCACTCGTGGCGAAAATGCACCAAAGTAATGCCGTTGGCCTTCGTACATGCAGACCCGGGGAGAGCCCCCAGGACTGGTGGAAAGTCTGCCTCTGTCAGGGAGGGCGGGAGAGACTGAAGTGGTGGCTGCCACTCCCACTGGTGATCAGTGGAGTTTTGCCGCGTCCACTGTTGGATCCCTCTCTCCGTGACAAGGTCCTGAGAGGGGGTGTAAGACTTCAAGGAAGCAGTTTCCAACCTGGTGGACGTGGCATGGAAGGCCCTGCAATACCTATTGTGATTGTGCTTGCTTTGGGGATCATGACCCTTTTCTGCTTTAATCATTATGAATACCCTGGCAGTGATTCAGATAGTGTGCCTGGACCTTTCCCGGCTCAATGAACAGAATAATGATATCATACTAGAAACGTCAGGGAATATAGGTACAAAGAAACAACCAGAACAATCTGAGAATTCAAGCTTAATCAATAACAGATCATTGGAAAAACACCCAAGATAAGATAGAATACTCTAGGAAATCAGGAGATGATCTCACTGCTTTCTTAGAGGGAATCAAAGTACAAAACATGTCTATAAAAGAACTCCTAGAGAAACTTAAAAGAAGTACCCTTGAAAGCCCCCTGCAACATAGGAATAGCCCCTCCTTTACCTTGAATAGGAATATATATCAACTAGACAGGCAAAGTAATAACAAAGGCTAGTTAGTTATTACAAACTAAACAGTTACTAGGGAGTCAGAATTTATGGTACACAGAAAAAACATTTTAAGCAAAAAAAAAAGGTAGATAGCTAAGTTAGACATCACAAGGGCCTTATAATAAATTTCCTATTTTCTCTACTCAATCTAGCGTATCCTTTTGCCCTATGACAAATTCTGAGAAACTTTAATATACAATAAGATACTTCTAGTTGCCTGATTAATGCCTCTCCTGGTCAAAATAATCTTCGTTTATTATAACTGAATCTATGAGAACTTTCATACTTTTCCTGGTTACCTTTGTATTGATTTTTTCTGCTTAACTGATCATGCTATGCACCTGCAAATGTTAGTCACTACCTAAAATGAAAATATGAAAACCTGCTTGTACTTGCAATAAACAGAACAGAGCTTCACTGTCCTTTGAGGCGTGTTGTCGTCTGTTACCCAGCGCCGACGCCTACCCTCACCTGTGGGACCCCTTGACCCGCTGCGGCTGGACCGCGGCAGAGTTTATCAAGGGGAACCCACATACAGGACATGTCTTGGGTGGCCGCACGAGGAAATACATGGGTCCTTGTGCTGCTTGACAGGCCCAAAGGATTACACGGGGCAAAGGGGCGAGAGGCACAGGTACCCCTGCGTGAACGCTAGCAGGTGCTCCTTCAGGTCGGGACAAAAGCCTGTTGCAGGAACCGGCCCTTCACAGGAGGCGGGGGAGGGGTGCCGACTCAGGGCAGAATGAGCCTCCATTTGGGTCAGACAGCCTGTAAGGGGTTGCAGGTCGCCCTCTCGCCTTGTGGCCCGGGTCTAGCTCTCGGGTCCAGCCGCAGTCACGTCACGGGTCAGTCTCTCCTCCACAGTCAGGGGCACAGTGATGGTCCTGGAGCACTGGCTTTCAAGCTGGCAGCAGCTGGTGTAACTTTTCTTCAAATGACACGCAGAAACCCCATGTAATAGCACAGGTCAGACCCAAGTGTGAAGGCGGGTGGGAGAAGGGGGCTGCAGTCGCCCGCACTCAGCACACCCCAGAGAGGGTGCTCCCAGGGAGGGCGCCCTGCCTTCTCGGCGCCCTGCCTTCTCGACGCCCTGCCTTCTCGGCGCCCTGCCTTCTCGGCGGCCTGCAAGTAGGCTCATGCTTGGCTGGCTAGCCATCTCTCTTCTCCCCCTGCCTGGATTTATCTTCTTTCTTCTATTCTAGGTGAAAGTGATTTTCAAAACCATAAACCTAGGTGAAGATAATAGTGCTACTCTAGTGCTCTGTTATTTTTACTCTCAATCTATGGAAGCAGATTCAGGGCTGAGAAAACACATACCTGCCTATAATATATACATGTATTTTACATATATATTTATTAGAAGTATTTTGATATGTTATTATGAAAAACTTAAATATACAGAAAAGTAGAGAAAACAGAACTGTCATCTCCTAAATTTAACAACTGCCCTTTTTTTTTCATATTCGCTTGATACATTTTATTAAACTTTTAATGAATAAGACTTTCAAAAAGCAAACATATCCATAGTAACAAGGTCTGGGAACATTGTTACCCAAGTCTCCTGTCCCCTATCCTGGCTCATCTCGGGGACTTACGATGCTCCCGGTTTAGTTTATGAAATTAGTTTAGTTTATGAAACCTACATGAGGGACACCAGTTGGATGCAACATTTGAGAGTTCCTGCGTCTGTTTAGTTTATTCTTCACTCAACAGTAATTTCAGGTGCCTCTCTGTGCCAGGACCTGGGCAGGCGGCGAGAAACAAAATGAAACAGCAGATATCACCCCTGCCCCAGCTTTCTTCAGAAATGCAAGCTCTTCAGTTGCTTGTCTGGAGTCTGAGGGAAATGAGTTGTGTGTCTGCCCTCGGCGGAGGGCTGGCTGGTGAGGGAAAGATCAAGGGAAGGGGATGGATTTGGGAGTTCTAGGGAGTCGGTCCGATTCTTGAGCTGGCAGCGTGCTTTGTGCACAAAGCTCCCGCGGACCGGGCGTCTCGCACGCACTTGGCACAGCTTCCCGGCCCCAGCACTGCGTGGGGCCACTCAGGGGACAGCCACAGTGTGGCCAAGGCTGCTAGACAGGCTGCTCGTTCACTCTGGGCCTTGTGGGGCGGGGGGGGGGGCGGCGCTGTGGAGCTGGTGGTCGGAGTTCTTTGTTTTCTAGGAGTTACTACTCTGCTATTTTCGTTAGTCAGCCCGTCTAAGGACATAATGGGTAAGAGTCTTACACTAGAGAACCAGCCCCCTGGCTCTGCTCCCGCCAGACCTGCCCTCCTCCCTTAGTCACCTGAAGAAAGGCTGCGTGGTCTGCTCTTGTCGTAGGAGTGGGACTTCTTCCAGTAGTCCTTAACAAGTGGGATCATTCGGGGTGTACCTGGGCCTACATCCATGCCTCCATTAGCTGTTTTGTGAAGAAGAGAACGGAAAAAGAAGCAGCATGAGTGTGGAGGTCTCTGCGATTACAGGACTTGATCGACTAAACCTTACAGCTTGGGCCCTGGCCGGTGTGGCTCAGTTGGAGCAGCATCCCATGGACTGAAAGGCTGCGGGTTCGATCCCTTGTCAGGGCACGTGCTGTGGTCTCCAGCTGGGGCGCGTACAGGAGGCAACCAATCAGTGTTTCTCTCTCACGTTGATGCTTCTCCCCCCCCCCGCCCCATACCTTCTTCTTTCTCTAAAACCAATGAAAAAATGTCCTCAGGTGAGGACTGAAAAAAATTTGTTTGGGGGAGTGGTGGGAGGAAAGTGGAGACAACTGTACTTGAACAACAATAAAAAAGAGAAAAATCGTTTTTAAAAATTAGAGAGCAGTCTGACTGCTCTGGGGAGTAGAGGGGTTGAGCAAAAAAGAAAAAAGGAAGAACTTACGGAGACGGACTAGAGGGTGCGATTGCAGGGGTGGGCGGAGGCGAAAGAATGGCTATGGGAAAGTGCAGTAAAAACTAACGGTAAAAATATAGAGAAAATAAATAAATAAAAATAAACCTTAGAGGTTGGTTAATCAATAACCTGTTTTTAAAGATTCTATAGCCACTGTGTTTTCAGGACAGAAGGTAAATTTGGGGAAGCCTCCATTTAGGCTTGGGAATCTGCGCCCCGTGATTTCTCACCGGCAAAGTTTGACACCTGATCACGTTTTCAGTGGGTTTCCCTAAGCAGGCAGCGTCCTGGACCACGAACGACATGAGTAGGGTGTCACGAGTCTGCAGGGGCTCCCAGGCATGTTCTGCCTGGAGACCCAGGTCTGGTTTCAGATGAGGGTCCCGGGGAAGCAGGCGGATCTTCCGCTTGACATTTGTGATCGCCTTCAGAATGGGGGACCGTCATGAATCAGGTTCGCGCCCCCCCCCCCATATGTTTGTGCCGAGAGGAAGTGGCGGCACTCACGCCGTGCAGTGCGTTGCAGGCCGCCTGTGAACTGCATGGCTGCAGGGAGGTGGTGTGCGGAGGACTTCAGGTTGCTTCTCTCGTCACTCAGCAGCTTCTAGGACGGGGGCGTTTCCGCGATGCCTCTCTTTCCCTGCTTTACAAGCAGGGGGAAGATAGCATAGGGTGGTCAACAGTGTGATCGAGTTTCAGAAATGGATTGCAAGGCCGATGTGTGCGTTGCGTGGAGGGACATGTTTACAGTGGCCAACAAATGACTCTGTCCCCCTCTTTGGCAGGAAATTACTACGTGTTTACCAGATTACTACAAATGGACCCAGTATCTCTTCATCAAACTCTATGACGCTGGACTGGCCTATCAGAAGGAGGTAAGTTCAGGTCAGCCATGCTTTAAAAAGTTTGTCAATTTCCTCCCTCTTCTTAGAACACATCGTTGTTAGATAAGAAATGGATCAGCCCCGTTTGCACAGCAGCTGTGAAAATGAACACTGCCTCAAGTTCATGACAGCAGTTACCGCAGACCCAGGCAGCAGCTACCGCCTGGCTCAGTGTGGCGCCCCCAGGACAGGGCGTGGCCCTTCACCCTCAAGTGCCAGTCACAGTGTCTGGTGCCTGCTCTGGGACCCAGCAGGAGGCGAAGGAGGGATGCAGGCCTCCCGGGCGCTCGCTCAGCTCCCACCCACACACTCCCCCGCACCCCCCATGCCGCCTCCAGGAGTTGCTGCACTGTGTCTGCTGAGTGGGGTGGTGACTTCATCCCTGCAGGGGCGCGGGAAGACAGAGGTGATGCTGAAAGAACGGCTGCCCCAGGGCCTGCACGTAGCGGCCCCCCAAGACCCCGAGGTGCTCGTGTGGCAGGAGCTCACTGACCGCAGGCAGGACTCAGGCAGCCGCAGGGGGCGGGGTCGTAGGGTGGCCTAGAACTGCACTGTTAACTCTAGCCACTAATGCATGTGGTGTTGATTTTTGTTTTAAAGATTATATTAATTTTAAGGGAGAGGTGAAGGGAGGGAAAAGGTGGGGGAAACATCCATGTGCAAGAGAAACATCAATTTGCTGCCTCTCACACGCCCCTAACCCAGACATGTGCCTTGACTGGGAATTGAACCTGGGATCTTCCAGTGTGCGGGGCAACACTTAACCCACTGAGCCATATTGGTCAGGGCCACATTTAAGTTTAAAGTAATTAAGGTGAATGAATATGGAGGGTTGAGGTCCTCACTCCTGTGCTGGTAGCTAATACTGGACATCACAGATCTAGAGCATGGCCTTCACCACAGCACATTCTAGACAACCCTGGTCTAGAAAATGCACAAGTAACAAGTAGAAGAGACATTTCCTTCGACTGGAGAGATTTAGCGACGTGGAATTACGTTTCCTCCTCTCTGGCTCACATACGGTGCCTGGTCTTACAGTGAACGGCTCCTACGTAATGATTATGTTTTAAGTTTGCAGCGTTTTAGATTCAATGCAGAGACAAATGCAGAAGGCTCAACTTGAATTTCAGAATAAAAGAAAAGTGTTTTAAACCTTGACAACATAAAAATAGTATAGCTGCCCCCGGCCGGTGTAGCTCAGTGGATTGTGTGCTGGCCTGCACACCGAGAGGTCACCAGTTTGATTCCCAGGCAGGGCACATGCCGGGTTGTGGGCCGGGTCCCCAGCTGGGGGCGTGTGAGAGGCAACTGATCAATGTATCTTTCTCACATCCATGTTTCTCTCCCTCTCTTTCTCCCTCCCTTCCACTCTCTCTAAAAATAAATAAAAATTTGAAAAGAATGACAGCTAGGTTTGCAGTGCGGCCTTGTCCCCAGGGGGCACACGGTAGGGCACGCCGGGCACAGCGGCCTCTCCCACTCTGCCCCTGGAGGCTGCGGAAGCTGGTGGTGGCAGCCTTGAGAGCGCCCCACCTTCCCTTGGACTTCATCCAGTTGAGGCCTGTTCTGGATGGAACAGAGTAATGTTGATTTTGAGAATTAGATCCTTTAATAAGATCTATGTGGTGTTCCTTAATTAAGCATGCTTTTGCCAAGAAAAAAAGCTAATAGACTTTGAGAAAATCAACCCCCTAAACCACAAATGTTACCAGCCATCTGTAACCTGAAGCTGCCTGACAGTGTACTCAGAAACGGTGTTCGGTGGTAGCAGAGCAGAGCTTGAGGACGAAGAAGCAAGGAGAATGCTGGAGAGGAGCCAGAGGCCTGGGAGCGAGGCACTGGCCAGGAGACAAAAGCATGCGATGGAGGATGTGATCTAGAAGGGACTGGCGTCCTGTGTGCAGGGTGAGGCCAGGGAGGCAAAGGGAAAGAGAGCCCGTGGGAAGAGGAAGATGAGGTGAGAAAGGGTGAGGTGTGGCACAGGAGGCCCCGGGGGCAGGGGCGCCACCGCTGCTGTGTCCTGGGGAGCAGCGCTGCTGAGCCCGGAGTGGGGACGGCACTGCCGCCAGCACCGGCCGTGCAGCCTGTCCTCGCCTGTGCCTCTGAGAGCCGATGGTGTTATGCTCTGCATTTCCAAAATGCTTTCTAAAAGCCTCCCCTACGTCACTCAGACAGAAAAGGTCGCTCCTGATGTTTCGCCCCGATCAGCGGGGACATTCTCTTACTTGGCGCGTGGCTCGCTCTGCGATGTTGCCAGATAACTTTTGTGGGGTGGGCGGTGGACTGAGCGGGCTGGAGCTTAGTGTGTCTGCAGGGGTTTTAATGGCTTCAGTGTTGATCGAAGGCTGATTTCAGAGTCTTACCCGTGAGGCCGTATCTCAGCAGTAGGGCTGGTTAGCCGCAGAGGAGCCTGGGGCTGGCTTCAGGCGGCGATGGAGCTCACCACGGCAGCTGGGGATGCGACTGCAGGCAGTGAGGTTGTCCAGAAACTGTGATCCATGTAGCAAGGCTGTGCTTGCTTGGAAATCAGTGGTCCATCAGAGCATCCGTTCACACATGAAATCCAGGACTGTGGTGAAGAGAAGGCCTGGCTCTGAGGGCAGCTGCGTGGTAGAGACCGTTATACAAGAGAGGAGACTGGGAAAGGGCTCGGGGAGCAGCTTCAGGGCTTCAGGGTGCTGCATGTGCTGTGCTCCCTCCGCGGGCCCTGGGGACCCCTGCACCTTGGCCACCCCTGGGCAAACCCCCTGCAGAAACACTGAACCTGGGCCCCGCTCGTCTGCGCTGGAGATGGATCCTTGACGTGGGAAGAAGGGAGAGCGGGTTCTCACAGCTGATGCATCTTTGATCTGAGATGCTGTTTGCTTTGGTGTTTTTCCTTTTCCCCAAAGATGTTCATTGGGGGAAAAAAATGCTGTTGTGTCTTGCTTTTATTTCTCTTTCATTCAACACCAGAGATGTATTATAACGTGTAACCCTCTTAGGAACACATCCTCCTGATTGCTGTTTGTAACCCGGAGCCGGAGAGAGGCCAGGCCGTCTGGGAAATGTTGATAAGAAAATGAAGTCTTGTTTATTTTTGCACTCTGCAGTATTGAGTGTTTGCTTCTCCCTTATCCTGAGGCTCGAAGGGGCCTGGAAGGGGGCCTGGAAGGGGGCCTGGAAGGGGGCCTGGAAGGGGGCCGGAGGCACAGGTGGAGGCCTGTGGAGCTTTTCTCCGCCCTTTTGTGTTTTACTCGGCTTTAGTTCTGTGTGGGTGTTTTCTTTTCAGGACGGGGAGGGGTGGAGGGAGGGCTGCCTCTTGAAAGAACTTCGCACAACACCAAAGCGGTATCCCTCCCACCCCCTAAGATGAGCAATAATAATAAATGAGGAGATCGCCCTTGGTTTATTAGCCTGAAGTTTTTACATCTAAGGTACTTTTGTTCCTATTTGATCTCTATTTATTTATGGATTCAAGGCTGCGCGGGGCCTTAGATTGAGGGAGAAAATTATTCCCTGCACGTCTTTCCTGCCCCAACTCCAGGCCTCACGGGCGTAAACTTTTCAGTGGATACTTTACTTTTCCGTCGTAATGGTCACGGTGCACGGATGCATCAGCCTGTCCTCTACCCCGACTGTTCCCGTGATTTTTCTATTCTCCGGATCACTAAGGGTCCCGGCAGAAAAGAGAGGGCACCGTGGAGAGGAGCCATGCGATACAGGGCTCGTTTCTGTGCAGAGTTTCTGGACGCCTGCAGGGACGGTCAGGCACCTGTGGCGGGCGACAGAAAGAGGGGTGTGCCACCCCAGGTGAGGGGGTGCTGCTGGGGAGCAGTTCCCGGAACTGGGAGCACGGGAGCTGTGGCAAAGAGGGACCTGCCGGCAGGGGTGGTGCAGCCTTGCCCAGCTGGGAGGAAGCCGGTGCTGCTGTCTGCTGAACCCGGGCAGAGGCCGGGGCGTGCAGGTCAGGGTTGGGGGTGCAGACGAGGGTGCAAAGAGGATTGCGGGAGGGTGCGGGGTGGGGGAGAGATGGCATTTAGCACAATCCCTTAATTAGATTTGCTTATTAAAATTAAAATTTAAAAACAATGTGTACCAAGCCAGGATATTTTAGCGCCCAAACAGGTCTGTGCTTGCTTCCTTCTTTGTACTGAGCTCTAACCAAACGCAGTAAAGGAATGAGTGTCGACGGCAGAGGTCTTTATTCTGTGGGAGGATAGACATGAGATAGAGCTCTATGAAGAGACACTCACAGTGGTTCCCGTTACAGGTTCTCTCGGCCCAACAAAACAATTCCCGTGGACCCCAAAGCATTGTTGCCTTTTGGGGACAGGGATTGACCGGGAGAACGCACAGCAGACATTTCTGGGGTGGTGGGCACGTTCTGTATCTTGGTATGAGCGGTGGTAAAAGTTCATCCTGCTGCACGCTTGAGATTTATTCTCATACTCTGTGTGTTACACATTAATTTAAATAGAAGTTTTTAAAAATGGCAAACAGCTTTTACAGTTCCCAGAGCCCTGAGTTCTGACTCCATCTCCGGCCCTCACTGACTGTGTGACCTTAGGTTACTCGATCTCTCTGGTCCTCAGTTTCCTGCTTTCCCACATGGGGACAGCAGTGTTCTTCCCTTAAAAGGTGGTTGTGAGGATCGGAAGTGCAGCCTTAGGAAGGCGCTGAGCCCAGCCTCGAGCACGTGAGGGTCACTCAGTAATGGTTAGCTATTTATGTTAAAATAGATATATTTGTTTCCCCTCAACTGACTTCTGCACAGTTCTGGGTACCATTGTTTCTTCTCCTCCTCTGTGTACTAAAGTTCCCAGCCCTCCAAGTTCATCCTTCCGTGCAAAAACGTACCAAACCTGAGTCAGACGCGTGCTGGCAGGCTTCCGTCCCGAGCGGCCGCGCTCTGACGAGACGAAGGCACGGAGGCAGGTCCCCGTGCTCCTGCACGGCCGCCATTGGTCTCCTCGGCAGGCGACGCTGCAAGGAGAGGCCCTCAGGCTCAGAGCAGGGATGTTGCATCTGCAGGCCTCTCCCAGGTGGGAGCCTTGACGCGATGCTTCCGCACACTCACCGGATTGCACCCTTTTGTTTCACAAATGGCAACAGGCCTTGGTTAACTGGGACCCGGTGGACCACACGGTGCTCGCCAATGAGCAGGTGGACGAACACGGCTGTTCGTGGCGTTCTGGAGCAAAGGTCGAACAGAAGTACCTCCGACAGTGGTTCATTAAGACGACAGCTTACGCAAAGGTGAGTGTGGGCCCAGCAGTTCCCCACTAGTGCCGTGCATGTTGGCAGCCACACCAAGGTCCCCCGGGCACTGGAGAGCCTCAGGCTGGGGGTGGGGCTCCAGGAAGGGCTCTTGGAGCCCTGGGTGCACAGACAGGAAGCACACGGACCTCAGGGTCACTCAGCTCAGGGTAGCCCGTCATCATTCACATTCAGTCACCGCGCTGCCCTGGAGGCCACAAACCAGACGGCTTTATCCACAATCAGTGAGCAGTAAGGCTAGAGTGGAGGTAAATTTCTTCATCCGTGTGGCTCTAGTTAAAGACCGTCAGCAAGACAGAACGGCATTGCAGAAAGCCCAGAGCAGACCACCCAAAAGGAGCGAAGGAGGGCCGGTCTCTGGGAGGGAACGCCCCAGTGAAGGCTATGGACGTTAACTCTCTCGGGTCACTGAGTAACAGCGTCTGATGGGGTGAGTCCCTGGGCCTCAGTTTCCTCATCAGTAAAGGGACAGGGTGGGACCAGAGGTCGTTAGGGTGCTTTCTGGCTCTGTGTGTTCAGAGATCCAAGGCCAAGCCAGCCATCCAAAGAGGGGCTCGCCTAAAATCAGCAGGCGCCTGGGCAGTGAGCCTGCTCTGGGTGCCAGAGCTGCTCTGTGCGAGGCGTCCTTCGAGCTCCGACTTTCAGGGTCTGGAATGGAGGGATCGCTCCTCGAAACTCCAGAGAGAGATGATCGAATTGGGACCCTTCTCACAACCATCTTACAATCTGTGTGTTCACGGGCCTCAAACTGGGCACAAATAGGGTCTGGGAAGGTAAAAGCATCCCGAAGGCTGCTGGCAACCCGCCGTGGTGGTTATTCCTTGTCGTGGTCACTGAAAGGGATATCTGTGCCCTCCCGCAGTAACTGTGGGCCACACTGTCGGAGTTAGGGCGCTGGACCAAAATGGACTTCGGGTCAGATCTAGTACTGCACTTGTATGCAAAGGAAGCACAGAGTTATAAATAACCTCTGATCGCCACAAAACTTTGCTGGGTTGGAACGGCAATACGCCAGCTCACAATACCAGTGCCAATGGATATACGACCCCCAAGTTTCTCACTCAAAAGGCACCTCTTAAATGAGGCTATTTTCCCATTATAACCCTATTCAGCATGGAGCTGAGAATAGCACATGGGTTTGGAAAACCACTCATTAGAACTTGTTAGCACGGTGCCTGCGCCTTTGAAATTTCTGGTGAGACTGAGAGACCAGGCGAGAAGAACAAAGCGGAGGGCGTCGCCCTTTGGAACATCCGAGGCAGCAGGAGCCCCTGCCTGCCCACGGTCGGGGTCGGTCACAGGGACGGGCTCCGGGTCACCTCGGGCTCATCACAGGAAAGCCACCTACCTAATCGGCTCTTCTGTGGTGACCTCTGCCTCAGGTTGTAAATGTAATAGCCTAACCAAGGGACATTATTCTTTAAATTGTCAGCCGTGAGTTTTCAGCTGTTCATCAGAAATGCTAGTTACCATGGTGACTTGCTTGGTTCTTGCTGAACTCCTGTGCAGATTTATTGAAAAATCGGTCTTTGGAGGTCAGCCCTTGGTTTGCCCTGAAAACCAGAGGAAGAGGGGGGGGGGTGTGTGTGCAGGAATCTGTGCTCACTGCAGGTTCTTGGCTGAGGGCTGCACAAAGCAAGACTCCAGGGGGTTGACTGGGGACTGATTGCCACGGGCTGGGCGGAGAGTAGGCCAGAGATACTGGGGCCGAGCTGCGCTCAGACCTCAGGGCTGTGGTTCAGCCAAGAGTGTGCAGGCGACACCCCCGGAGCCATGTATTAGACACACAGATGCACCCTAGGACTGAGGACAGCATCAGAATAGACTCCCCTTAATAAGTAAAATTAACCCTGATAGCTTCACAAAGGACTTTCAGAACCAAATTCAACACCTTTAAAGGGACACAGGATCATTCAGACTCCCTGCAAGGTTGGTCTCATCTGTGGTGATCAGCCTATAATAAAACGTCATGGGACTTGCCGAGAATCGGGACATTGTGACCCTTAGTCAAGAAGAACAAGAAAGGCAGCCCAGTGGAAACAGGTCCTAAGATGACTCGGAGCTGGAATTCGGAAATGAAGCCAGAGCCACTTATTATATCAACAATCTGGAAGGTAAAGGAATAGATGGTCATAATGAGTGAACAGATGGGGAGTCTCTGAAGAGAAATGGAAACTATTAAAGCGAAACACACTGGAAATCCAGAACTGAAAATTATATAACGTCTGAAACAGGACATCCACTGTTGGGGAGGCAGAGAGATGAGCCAGGGTGAAGTGGGCCATGAAGCTAGAGCACCCCCCCCCCCAGTAAGGAGCCATCATGCGCGGTGGCCCTAAAGCAGAAATCTACATGACAACTTTGAGAAGCCGAAAGAACGTCAGTGTCGTGGAAACCGAGGGCCGAGGGAGGAGACACATGGCAGGGCTGGGGAAGCTGGGGCACTGGGGAGGGGCCGGGTCAGGCAGAGCCTTTGAGTTCTTAAGGAATTTGCACTTTTGAAAAAAAATGATTCCACGGTAGGAAAACACACTGGTTCTTAGTTGGCGTGGGAGCAGTGGGGAAGCTCTCCCTTCCCCAAGTGTACACTCACCCACCTTTGATTCAGCAGATGCAGGGCAGACCCAGGCAGAGACATGTATGTCTTGAATCCCCCTATTTTCTGAACTACATCAAAAAGTCATTTCTACATAATGGGTCACACATACATATAGAAGTTCCTGTATACTTTTTATAATACGTTAACATTCACAGTCACTTCAACACCCAAAGTGATTTGCAGAGATAAGACCATCTCAGAATTGCCCATGTCAGTCCGTCATGATTTTACCCTCCTGAAGGCAAAATCAGAAATGATCAATGCAAGATTTTCTTTCAGCAGGATAATGGCAGTACTTCCACAAAATGAAGGAATTTGCACTCTATCGGGGTGGGCGTGGGGCACCGTGACGGGACCCTGAGGGAGGGGTGGCCTGGTCAGAGAGGTGTTTTTGTGAATCCCTGTGGGTGGGGCGAGTGTGGGTCCGAGAGCCCCGTGTGGAGTCTGTGCAGTGTTTCAGGCACATGTAACTTAGACTCCGGAGGGAGCGATGCAGGGAAACACGGAGGTTAGAAAAATACGCAGTGAAACCTGTAGCACGTGGTGATCCACTAGATGAGCGTGTGTAGGGGACGATGTCAGCAAGAAAGACCCTGGCTTGGACACCAAGTGGATGACGCAGCAGCTTCCTGGGAGAGGGCGTGCTGGGCAGACGTGGTCCCGACCCTTCAGTTTGCAGTGGCCACGAGGCATTCGGGTGGAGATGTGCAGATAATAGGCACTGGGGAAAATGGGTCTGAAGCCTCAAAGAAGATTATAATATCTATAATTATAGGCTATACATATGTAAGGGTGAGATATTGAATCAGTCAGCAATGCTTTCAGCTACAAGTAACTGAAAACCCAAGTTCAACAAGTGAGAAGTTTCCCACACAAGAAGTGGCAGTTGCTGGACTGGACTGGGATAAGGCTCTAAGTTGGCATTTCAGTGGTTGTCTCAGCCTGTCCTTCCTGCCTTGTAGTTGCAAAAGTGGCTGCTGCAGCTCCAGACATCACAGTTCCGTTCACGACAGAAAAAAGCAGCAGGAGCAGGGCGACTGTGTCTTTTATCTGGAAAGCGAGAACTTTCTTGGCAGCCCCCAGCAGAAGTCCAGTGTTGTGTCATGCGTCATTCCCAGCCTCGAGGAAGACCAGGAAGGCAGGCTCGGGATTTTAAGTTGAAAAGCTGGCTTGGGGAAGAGGAAGGGGCATGGGTGCTGGGATGACCGGCGAGCTGTGCCTCCCACAGTTGTCTTTGGACCTTTATACTTGCATCTGTGAGGTTCAGCTGGTGGTCTCCTTGGGAGCAGGGCTGTGGAGAAGCCTTCTTTCATTCACGTCACTTCCAAATCATAAAGACGATGCCTGGTGTGAAAATCATAGGGAGGCCTGAAAGATAAAATTCCCTTTATTAAGGCTATTCTGTGATGTCTTTGATTTTTTCCCTCCCCTCCCCCGCCCCCCAGCGTTTCTAGGCTTGTTTGCTCTGTGCAGCATTAAAGTGCTTCCAGCCACGCGCTCTGTGAACAAGGAGGCTTGCAGAGCAGTATGTGAGGAAGGTGAATTAGTCTTGGCAGAGGTGTGTGGGCGGAACCCCGTGGGCGGCCCTGGGAGGGGAGGAGGGGGTGGGAGGATTACATGCAGCGAAAGTCCGATGGAGCCAGCACCCAGTCCTGACAGCAGGGTGGCAGTGGGGAGGCGAGACGGAGACAGCTGCCCATTTGAACTCCTCTAACAGACCCTCCCGTAGCCTCCAGAGGCTGAGTCCTCACAGGACCCCAGCTGCTGGGGCGCTGTTCCTGGGCCCCTCTTGGTGTCGAGATAGACGTAACTTACACCCTGAGGGCTTCAGTCAGATCCACGCTGGTGGTTATCATCACCAGGTTCTCAGGAATCCCCGGGCGAAGCCCGTGGTCACTTTCACTTCCTTCCTGCTTCCCCGGATCTGATCAGCGCTCAGGCCTTCCCTCTCACCCCTCACATTAGCCCTTTGAGGGCAGGTGCCCCTGTTCTCCCCATTTTACGGATGAGGAAACTGAGGCGCACACTGGAAAGAGGTGACAGCACTGGAATTCAAATCTGGGCGCTTGAGCTGTTAACGGGCAGTCGCAGTATGCTCCTCAGGTAGTCTGAATTTGCTCGCTCTGTCCCCCATGTCACCAAGCACCTGGACAGATCACTGGGCTAGGCGCTAAGAACACAGAGGAGAAGAGCTGCGGTCCCTACTTTCATGGAGCTTGGAGGCTAATGTGGGAGACGGTGGCATTTGTGGGCGTTCACAGCCCAGTGGGATCACCGTCACACTGCAGGAGAGTGCATGGGAGGTGACTGGGAGGAGCCCCAGGTCTGCCCAGGGGTCAGGAGGTATCACCGAGGACGAGGTGGAAGACAGGGAGCGATC